CTACCACTAAACAATCATTCTCGACCGTTGAGTACTTTTTTTTCCGTGTGTGTTTGAACACGACTGGCGTACTTCACAACTCCTTGACCATATCTTAGCACTGCACCTTTCCCGTAGGCAGTCGCATCTGTGGGCATCGTGAATTGCTTTCCAGGTACAGACAGTTTTAATGTCATTTGGTGGTTGTCTAAAAGCTGTTTAATGAGGTCAAATATCTTCTGCGAATCTTCCTACCAAACAAACTTTGACTCACCTAATAGACTGTACAGAGGGTCTGCTATCTCGTTGGAGTTTTTTTACAAACTGATTATAAAACGCTGCCCTCGCCGGGAACTGCCTTAACTCATTCTTGGAATTCGGGGCGGTAATGTTCTTTATCGATAACATTTCCTCCGGTAGTGGTGTAATTTCACCGTTGCCTACTCTATCGCCCATCAGCGTAACACTCCGTTTAGCTATCTGAAATTCTGATTCGTAGTCCAAACTCTTTAATGAGTTTTAACACAGTTTCGACACGGTCACTTTCATTTTGACTGTAGATGACGAGATCAACACTGTACACCGGAAAATTCTTCCAGTTTCTAAGTGACAGCGTCATCAGTCGTCTGAAGGTAGACGGTGCACCTGCTAGTCCAAGTGACATACGTTTAAAATGATATTGTTTCTAACCCACGATGAACGCCGTCTTATCTGTGTCAGTCTGTTTGTTGATGTCTGCCAATATCCTGACCAGAGGTCAAGCACTGTAAACAACTTTGCGCCTTGTAGACGACACAAGGTCCCTACTGCACTTGGTACGGCACACGGTCTAAGCTGTCGGAAATCAATGCAGAATCTGTACTGCTCATTTGCTTTTTTCACTAAAAAAGTGCGGAGTCATATGGTTTGTCAGTCTCTTCATTAATATCGATCCTTTAACATCTCCTGCACTTGTCGCTTAGCTTCTTCTAAATGACCACCTTAGGTTCTTATTGTGAATGGTGTCATTTTCCGATCAGTCACTGGGATTTTATGCCTCACCTAATCACAATAACCGTAGGAGTGAGTCCCCATCTCAAGTGAAAAAAGTAACGTATTCACTAATTATCATTTTTATATTCGTCTTTTCGACACTTCCATCCCTGATACCTCGCTGTTCTCATATATTCTGATAAATCCATACTTTGTTATCATAATCCTATCCTATGTTGAATCCAGACAGATCCTATTCTTTGGTTTAATTAATTAACTAGCCTTTCGCAGGAAATCAGCCTTATGTAGTGTTCGCTGTAACTGAGGTACAACAATGAACAGAAAAGTTACTTTGTAGATCCCCGATATGACCACTGCAGTTTGACATACCTGCGATTCTTAACTTATTCACCTAACGTTTGAACTCTCATTGAGCACAATTTAACAATATGACATAGATACTTGTGTATTAGCAAGACTGCTGTCCCAGTATCTACTAAACGTACGGCTTCTTTCCAATCATTCGTATCTGGGATCATATGGTCACCCTGTCGATTCGTCCCGCTACTTCTAGTCTTATCGCAGAGACAGAATACACAGTAGACTTGTCAAAATTTCTTCTTTCTCGACAGCCCCTCGTCCACTGCCCTGTTTTGTCATATGTAAAGCACTACTCTGTTTTCACACTCATTCGCAGCGCCGCTGCTTTGAGCTGCAAACATTTGACTTTCTGTTCCTAATGGTTTAATCTCTGTGACTCAATTGCGACCATGAGTGCACTCAGTAAATGACTGCTGATAAGAAGTGACAGCCTAAGAAGTAGCAGCAAAATTACATATGACGTTCCCCATCCCCAAGTTGTTCTCCATCTCTGTAAAAGATAAGCTCACCCGTCTGGTCGCCTCCATGTGCATCTATCAGTTCAACTGCTCTTGTGGAGCAAGGTACATTGGCCGTAGTCAGAGGACGCTTTCCACACGAATACGAGAACATATTCCAGAAGCATGGTTTTACAAGGGAGAAAGGAAGTGTGTGCGAAGCTCTATTCTGGAACACCTGTTCGACTTACATCAACCCTGACCATGATTTTAAGATCATATACAGAACCCATGCTAACTTCCCACGTTTTCTTCGTTACAGACTTCTAAAGACAGCGCAGGCCTTGGCAATTCATGACTTTAAGCCAGACCTTTGTGTACAAAAGAAGCATGTACAATCCCTACTTCTGCCTTGGCCGCAGAGGGATAGACATTTATTTATTTTGTTTATTTAGTTATTCTATGTACCTTTCCCTTATAACTACTATTATCATTATTATTATTACTATTCTCACTCTTTTCCATTTGTCATTCTAAACCCAAAATTATTAATTTTTATTTTCACAATATTGAATTCTATCTTATCAAATTTCACACCATGTTATGTAACATTTTATATTCCCCTACTAATCTATACACCTTATGTATTATTCTATATATGACATTAATTATTTTGCCACTTGACATTAAACTATGATTATAATCACAAATATTTTAATTGCATTTCATACTATTACTATTTCATGTATTCACACCTTTGACCTAATTCCCTCATCGGGTATAATTTCTTAAAACACCATATATATATATATATATATATATATACGATTGTACAGCTTGATAATAAATTCGTTGAAAAGAGTCTCTTCACTGAATAGTGTGTTCTAAATTCTAATATTTCACTATTTTGTCTTATAGGATCAATAGAGTCCTCTAGCCTACAGAGTTTGTCTTCTCTGAGCGAATTTGTAGGCTAATAAGCCATCCCAATTCCTGCTCTATTAGAAATCCTATGTAGGGCTTCAGATGTCCTTTCCGAATATAAGGTAAAACTATAGATGTCTGAAACTCTACCTTATTTACCTTATGACCAATGGTTTCACAACTGTTTTTCATTTTCTTGTCAACTTATGTGGTCTTCTCCATAAAATTTATAGGATAGTTATTTAGCGACAACGTCTCTACTATCAGTTCCACTTCATTATTTGGCTTTTTCAATGTATTACTTAGAGTTATTTATTGTTCGGTTTATTAGATACTAAACTTAGACTACATTTACAGATGACGAATGGGTTGAATTAAAGTCTTGTCGAATTTCCGAACATCACCCTGTATAGTGGTTAAGTAAGGGACAAACAATATCTATTCACAGCGCTATTCTATCTCATCTTGTGGATACAGAACACAAGATTGATGTCAGCGAGGCAGCTTTCACAGTCATTTAGCGTATACCAAGCAATCCTAACTTCACCTTAAGAATTCGACTACCAAATATTTCTAAGGCCGTTGGGAAGAAGAAGCCTAATTTATGCGTCCAAAAGAAGCTAGTTAAGACATGGTCCTTACCTTAGCCATCTAGGTTTGATTTATCCTCAATTTTTGTGTAATTTCCCTAATTTTAGTTGGTATTCTATTTGCTATTATATCTTTATTATTATTATTATTATTATTATTTAAGCATCTTTCATGAACTGTAATTCCATTGTGATCTTACTTTACAAATCGATATCATTTAGAGAACACTAATATTCTACCTATATATAATATATATATATAATTGTAGACTTAGAAGAGGAAATTATCGAAAAGGATAATCTTTGCTCAATTATTTTGTAATTAGTATGTTGGCTTTTTATACACACTGGGGCATAGTTTAACATCTCCAGTTTGTTTCATCTGATAATCTAGCATAGCTTCTGATGTCGCATGTATTATATAATGCCGGTCAAATTTGTTTATACTGACCAAGCGACAATGCTTATTATTCACTTATATAAACTAAAGTACTCAACGATTCGTCATTTGAAAACATTTATTTCCCGATACGAATTTAAAACAAGCAACAAAGGGGTTAATAGAACAGGATTGAATGAATTCATCGAATTTCAGTTGAGCTCTTCTTCAGCTGAATACTCTACATACACGGATATACGTCTACTTTTGAAATTACATTGGGAGATATAAGACTGATAAGCAAATAAACTACATTGAATTAGTCATGCAAAAAGACAGGTGCGAAGGTTTTCCAGATCATGTGAAGATAGATAAGGGGAGAGAGAGTATGAGAGATTAGAATTAAGATAAAATGCATTACGCTTCAATTACATCACTCAGATAAACAGTTAGTCATTAGAGAATGCATCCAGAATTGCAAACACAACAATATCAATAGTAATAATTATAATATTAATGTTGAAGTGAGTTAAGATAATCCTACTGATAAAAGATAGTTTTAAATGAATCAAGAATAATAAATAATAGTAAGAGGTAGAATAATAATTAAAACGTATTACCATGGAAGATTCAGAGTGATACCCATCTCCTTTTGTACACACAGAGACACCTGGTTTATAAACTCGAATTGCACAAGCCTCTGCCATTGGAAGCATCTTCTTGTTTCTTAAAGTCTGCTGACAATAGTGAATGACTTTACAGCGTCGACACATATCCGCAGTTCATAAGATGCTTTGTTATTGAGCTTTTTGGCACTTTACATTCAGCTGTTTTCAACCATTTTGGCGAATGTTCGATCATGAGAGTAGACAATCGCCTTTCTGTACGTTGGACCTATGTATTTGCTTCTATAAACACACTCATCAAATTGATGTACTTAGTTTGCTTATCAGTCTTATATCTCCCAATGTAATTTTAAAAGTATATATATGTATCCGTGTATGTAGAGTATTTAGCTTAGGCGGAGGAGTTCTACCGAAATTTAATAAATTCATTATATCCTGCTTTATTAACTATGTATTGCTTGTTTTAGATTCGTCATTTGCATAATCCCCAATTGTGATTACGGAATATGCTTTAGTACCACCACTATAGTAATATCTAAGACCTGACAAAGAATGAATGATCAGGATATTTTAAAAAAGTATTTATTTACATGTAAATATCTTTGAGAATTTCGTATAACAAACTTTATACATCATAGCTGTATATAAGTAAATAGGCAGTTGTTGTTGTTGTTGTCTTTTACAAGAGATGCATACACGATGAGATTTTGTCTCACTTTAAACTACTAGCCACACCACTTGTCAACGGAGGGAAGGCTTGCAGTTTACTGACAACCAATTTTTGTTGTTGATGTGCCAGGTAACCTTTGATTTTACCCTGGAAGAAGAAGAACAAGAACAAGAATGAAAACAAAAGTCATCAAAACTTACAGAGATACACTGCAATACCATTGAGAGTTAGAATAAATTCGTTAGATGTAATATAATATACTTTAGTGTATGCTACTGACAAGATGTGTTAGTAGTCTATTAAGAGGTGTTCATCATCTCAAATATAATCAATAGCGAAGAGACAAGTCTGATGTCAGAAAATAAAGAGGAAATCAACCAGTATTGCAGCAAACATGGGAAACACGAAAAGAACAAAAAGAAACAGCAGGTCAAGTGTGAGGACAAATACTCGTCGAAGATATTGGCTAGGGGTCGCGCTATGTCGTAAAATTGGCAGAAGTTGAAATTCATAGGCCATTGGATCGGGTCCCAGTGGCTTAATGGTCAATGAGCTCGCCTTGTAACCTGAAATTGTTGGGTTCGATATCTAGCGGGATCACGAGTAGACACTGGTGGTGAGTTTTAAACAAGAAACACGCACAGCTGTGTTCGTGCTCTTTGATTTACATTGGTTCTCTAACTGATTAAGTTAATTTGTGATCGAAATTGATAATTATTCCTCTCCAGCTACGTCATTCTGGCTAACTGCATAGCATAATTACTTTTTTTACGCAACAAGGGTTATATATGGAAAATCTGTGCCGATTATAACTCAGCTCCAACCAACTAACTAACTAACTGAGTAATTGACGTTTGCCACCAATCATAGGAAAATACATCTGACAAGTAAACGCTCTGGATGGAAGGCTTTTTCCGCCTTCTTCCCAAAAGTGTTAAGCTCTACAATATTTTTTGTGAATAACCCCCCAGCCTTCTTCAATCGTCGGAATCACTTCCCGATTGAAAATAAATGACATGAGAAAAATCAGACTACAAAGATGTGTAGCAGTCGTAGACATTGGCATCATCTGTAAGTGTGTGGTGAGAGCTGGCTGCTAGCCAAAGTTGGTAGACAGTAATTTACACCAAAGTTTATGTCCCAAATGTTGGCCGTGAGAAAAGTAGGAACAAAGACTTTGCGTAAGCGGATACGGCTAGCATATAGATGATCTGACATTCAAGAAACAGTCACAAATAGATGAAAGGTTAACTTTCTGTGAGAAACAACCAATTAGAAGACTGTGTTTTCCTGCTGACAATAATCTATAAAAAAGTACATGAAAATCTATAAATATGTGTTGATTTCTTTAATAAACGATCTGTTACCTGGCCCTTGTCTTCTGTTATTACAAGTGTATCGCAAAGTGAATAAGAATAATAATTTAAATTCTAATGAATATCTACAAGATAGAGGCACAAAATTCCCGTTATCAAGTGTTGGTTGGTTTGCAGAGTTTTCCTTTATTGAATTGAGTTTAGAGAGCCATTGAAGAGCCAGAAAGTACTGACAGCCATTTCGTCCCAGTTCGAAACTCTTCATTAGCATACACCCGTCAGGCTACACCTAGAAGGTTCAGTTTATTGGGACAGAATCCAATGAACCTATCAATTCTAACATTCTGCCAGTCAATGTTTTAAAACAGTTGGAAATATATTTATTATTATTATTATTTCCTTTAATTCCTAAAGGAACATAGGGCTTCAGCTAAACGTCTTCATTGCGTTTAGTTCTCTGCTAGAGTTTTCACCTGGCTCCAAGTCTGCCCACATGCTTTCATCTCCTCTTCACATGACCTCCTTCATATCACCCTTGGACGACCAACTCGTCTCTTCCCTTTCGGGTTCCACTAGAGCAATGGCTTGTCTAGTGATGTCACCTGATGGTTTCTTCAGCGTATGGACAATCCATCTCCATTTCTTCCTGCATATTTGTTTCACAATCGGTTCCTGGTTGGTTCGCTATCAGAGATCCCTACTGTTGATCTATTCTGAACGGCCATCTGATCTTGAGTATTGAGCGAAGACAGCTGTTAATGAAGGTCTGAAGTTTGTTTGAGGTGCTCTTCATGACGCACCAAGTCTCTGATCCCTGTGGTAAGTAGCACTGACTTCACATTGGAGTTGAAAATCCGGATCTTATTTTCATTTTCATGCTGAGTGCTGTTGACCTCCAGATAGACTTGAGAGTAATGAAAGCTTGTTTTGCTTTCCCGATCCTCACTGCTTTGATATCCTAGTCAGTTTTGTCCGACTGCAGTTGAAGCGATGCTTCCCAGGTGGGTAGGTTGGTAAAGGAGGTTGTTTCTTTCAGGTTCCTCCCATTTGTGCTGGCTGATTGGTGTCTGTTGTTGTTGTTGCTATTGGTGTTGCCCAGGAAACTTCGTCACCTACCTCTGTTTTCTCTACGTTCACCTGAAGTGGTGTCCTATCTTCTCTGGATGCATCTTCTGCGAACTTGTTGCCTTTCACTTGCATACCTTCCAGACATATATCGCATCGGCGAAGTCCAGATCCTCCAAGTCTCTTTTTGTGTGGGTCCATTTTATGCCTGTTTCCTCATTGCCCGCCGCTGTTTGTCGCATTATCCAATCTACTGAAATCAGGAAAATCATAACATAACAGCAAGTAATTAAGCCCATTAACTATTCGACAAGGTGAGGTGATCCATTCGCCTTCAGATATAATCCCTACTTTATTAAGCATAATTTGTTAGTCAGCTTAATAAGCTGAGGAAAAAAAGTAGGACTATCAAAACACACTGAGATTGGGGTGAGATGTAGTGGAGTGAAGAGACAACAACTAAAGTGTGTGCACCAGTGAATAATAATAAGTAAGTATTTACCTCATGAATTAAATTGGCTAGGATACATTCCGTTTCATCTGGATCGATATCTTCAACCTATTTACAAAAGAAAAGTGTAGTATTCATAGAAATAACAAGAAATTATTGCATTCAGTGATTTCACTTATACACTCGAATAATAAAAATAATAATGATAGTGTGGTGAGAGCTGTCTGCTAGCCAAAATCGGTAAACACTAATATACGTCAATGTTTACGTCCCAAATCGGAGTCATGAGAAAAAGAAACAAGAACAAAGCCTAACCCTGAGGAACTCAACAACCAATCACAGCAGACCTAGCGTGGGCGGATACGATTCGCAGATATATCAACGAACTGTCTAAGAAACGGTAACAAAGAGATGACAGAATAACCTTCAGCAGGAAAACAACCAATCAAAAGTTGTCACCTCTCTGCTAATGATAATGTGCATAAAAATCTATAAATATTTGTTGATTTCCTAAACAAACGATCTGTTGCCTGGCCTTTGTTTTCTGTTGTTACAATGTGAATGAGATGAGACCTGATAGAAAATCTTGGAGCCAGTTAAAGAACAGGATGAAATGGAGATTTACTGTTGAAGTTTATGCTCCACTCGGAATATCCGGGGAATAATATTAATAATAATACACTAATTAGAAATCCTGATCCAAGATACAACAGTTATTTAACAACGGCTTTTCACATTATGAATTGCATCCACACTGAAGTCAATTAAATCTCAAAACACAAACAAAATTTTCTCTAGCAGCTTGATTGGTTTTGTAGGGTAGGGTAGGGTAGCTAGCCCCACGCCCAACCCACCCCCTTTACCCGAGCATGAGACCGGCTAGAAAACTAGTGACCTCTGGTAAAGTAGGCGAGGTTCTTCTGCACTCAGCATAAATGTTAAGTCAGTCAGTCAGTCAGTGCTTCTATACTAGTCAGAAACTTGGCTAACGCGTCACGAAAAGAATTTCCAACAGCCTGCTACAGACTTTTATCAACAGCTGCCCTCTTACCTGGCTCCATAATGTGAAGATCAAATGGCCAGCCAGCCAGAAAGAATTAACATCAAAAAACTCTGCCTGGAAACAAAAACCAACAGGCAAGAGCCAATTGCTTAACAAATATATGTACGAGAGAATGGTGATGGATTAATCGGGCATACATACATTGAGGAGGACGTCGAATGACATAGCGCGCTCAATGGAAAGTGACAGGTGGGCCGTCAAATGGTGACATGGAAGAGAGATCGTGCAACGATGCGGAGATGAGACATTATGGGATATCGTGAGTCCAGCTAAAGAGCATAGTAGAAAAAAAAGAACAAAGTGGAGATGTGTTGCTGAAACCACACACACACACATGTTCCACTCGGAACCGAAGGGAATAATACTACTAATAATACAATACACAAAACTCAGCAACAAATGATGAAACATACTAACTTATAACTTACCCCCATTAAATGTAATGAAGCAGTGAATACTTCAATTGGTAGTAAATGAGTTTTCAAAATATGACAACTACAAAACAAAAACACAGAGAGAGAGAGAGAGAAATTTTTAGATAACAGAAACAGAGGGTGGGAGAGATAATAAACAAAAACCTACCATGAAACAATACAAAACAAGATTTACTTACATTCGTTTAAATAAACTTCGATAAACGATTAACTTCAATTTTTCTAAGATTAGATAAACACCACAAGTGAGAAAGAAGGATTCATGTTCTTCCAGAGCTGAATTCATTTTACGCAAATTTCCTGTTCTATGAAAATGAGAGGAAAAAGGAGTAGATGAGTGGTTGAGATTAGATTTATACATAAATATATTTTTGTTTACTTGACTGCTTCAGCAATACTCTTGAATTCTTTCAAATTGTATTTAGCCAAAAGACTTTCTTTAGGTAATATACCCTGGGAGAAAAAGACAAAAAAAGAATAAACACGATAACAAGGCAGAGATCAGATGATGGAAATAGCTGGTCAACAAGATTAACATGTAAAGCAGAGTTTAATTGATGATGGATGGTGACTAGTACTGGTTGAATCCAGGATAAGGCGCATTTCGTTCTATTTGTGACTCGTCAGCCAGTGGATGTACCTGCATTCCCCAGTGGGTGATGATGTTCCCACCACCGAGGCTCTAACCCAGTGCCCATAGTTTCAAACGCTAGCCAAAGCGTTATCCACTAGACCACTTGGGCTATGAGAGCTGGCCAACTCTTGTGCAACGGGTCATGCAGGTACATCCAGATGACGAGTCCCGAGTAGGACGAAACCCGCGTTATCCTGGATTCCACTGCTAGTCTACCACCATCCACCAATTAAATTCTAATTAAATGCCCAGACATGGTCGAAGCATCTGCACAAGAAGCCAACATGTCAACCTGAGACTGAGCACTTCGGTGCAATCAATAATAGACGGAAAAATCTAAAATTCAATTAGAGCACAGTTTGTGAAAGCATTAAGAGTGATCTCCACGCGTAGTAACACTTTTATTGTACAGCAGGGATGATGATATTATTCAATCGCATGGGCTAAGAGTAAGCGTGATGATAGGATTCGAACACCCAGGACCCGCTGACTGAAAGTTGGATGCTTTAGCTAATACGCCCAAGCACAACATTACGATTAGCTGTGTTACACGCAGTAGCAACAACCAGTGTCCCCGAAAAATTTTCAGTGTTCGCCAAAATTCAATAAATCAAGCCTTGGACGTAGGTTTCGTTTCGCTCGTTAGCACTCACCCGTCAGCAAGGCGTATCTACAATCTCTTGAAGGAAATGATTTCCCTTCTGAGATTCGAACTCGTGTTACCCAGTACTGCACAGTCAAAGATGTTATAACACTGGATTAATCGGGCTGGCGACTCACCTCCTATAGCACACTGTAACAGATAGATAGATACTTTGATTCGACTCTAACTGGTGTCATGTGTGTAAGCCTTTGTTTGGTGAAGACTGAATTCTATCAGTCGAGTTTACAATGTGGCTATCATGTTAAGTGTCTTTGACTGAGACACTGGGTGTGACAAGGGTTCAAATCTCCCAGCGGATATGAGATTCTTCTTCCGGGATTACAGATGCGCCTCGCTGCTTGCTGATGAGTGCTAACAAGCACAAAACCTAAGTCCAAGGTTTCCTGCCGCTTGCCTCCAACCACCGTCTAATAACAAGAATTCTAAGTGCACCCATGGTTATTTATTATTTATTTAAACGTAGAAAAAAACTTGGTATAATATGGCACCAAGAAAGATGCGCCACACAGTAGTAATACAACAACATAGATCAAAAGTAAAAAACATATAAAAATAGAGAAAGGAAAAGAACTTCATCTGGAAGGAAAGCAGTCATGCTTAACAAGTTCAAACAGTATTCGTTAAATATCATCGGGAAGAGAAGAAAGAAGGAAATTGCAACACGTTCGCCATTGATTACGATTCTTGGTCATATCCGATAACGTTTCGAGCCACCTCGCGGACCCCAACCAGGGAGTCGTGACGCACCAACCGGTGCTAATCTAGCACAAAAATCCTTCGTCCCACGACGCCACGTCATGGACTGACCACCCCTCCGCCTTTTCCACCCCGTCCCAGGGCTGACTAGAGAACAGAGACCTGTATGGAAGCCTCTGGGATGACAATTCGCAGCACATGTCCAAGCCACCGGAGCCGGTGTTTCCAGATGACGACACTCAATGAATGGTGATCTCCACTGTGTTCAAACACACGCCGCCGAACCTCAGAATTACGAACGCAAGCAATCCTGCGGAGACAGCGATGATCGAACACGCAGAGTCGCCGGACATCCTCAGCTAGTAGAGGCCAGGTTTCACAGGCGTAGAGCAAGACAGCCCGCACTGAAGCATTGTATATCCGACCTTTGACAGCCAGGCTAACGTCGCGACGGCGCCAGATGTGGCTCAAGTTGACGTATGCCAACCTAGCCTTCATTATACGGCTGGAAATCTCATCCATCACCCCTCCGCCAGCACTCACACAACTACCCAGATACACAAACTTATCAACAACTTCAAGCGGTTCACCCACAAGAGTCAGTGCAGGTACAGGCTCCTGCCGATCTTGTAACAGTACTTTGCATTTAGACGGCGCAAAGTACATACCATACTTACCGGTGATGGACAGCCACCTAGCCTGTTTGCCTCATTACAAACTTGACGGATAAAATTAAGTTTGCACCAAATAAAGGACTAGACACACGACACCATTTCGAGTTCAATCAAAATACGAGTCAAATAAATAAATCCCGCCATAATCAATGAGACAAAAAACGAAAAGTTCGCTGTTACCCGTTGAATAGGTATAAGGCATTCAAAATATTCAATTTACTTACCAGTAACATTTTAATAGGTATTAAATAAATCAGGATTAGGCGTTTGTTATTCCACTTTGTGCTTAAACAATGATCAAAAGCAAAGCTTAATGATTTATCCGCTGAAAAACAGAACAAAAATGACAATAAAAATAGGCAAAGTTGTATATGATCACATAAAAAGGTCAAGTATTTATCTACTGGTGAAGACAAACAATAAAGGTTAATAAAGCAGGATTTAATGAATTCATCAAATTTCGGTAGAACTCCTCCGCCTAAGCTGAATACTCTACATACACGGATATATTTATATACTATTGGAAATACATTGGGAGATATAAGATTTCAGCTGTGTAAAGATGGCGTATCCAAAGTCCTATTATACGATATTGACGGACTCTGTGTAACACTGTGAAGCATTCATGTGGGGAGGGGAGGCTCGATGTTTGGAGATGACAAGGTGTTCGAGGATCAAGCTGTTGCTATTCTTCTTTTCTCCTCCAACTCCTAACCAAGCTGGGCAGTGTTCCAGAATACGTTTGTGGACTTGACATTGCGTACGGCCGGTATATTAGTTAGTTTATTAGGTAAGGTATACCAAGATATCATTGCACTGTTTACTGTGATAGGACTTCAATAGCAGTTTGAATATGTCGATTAATTGTAAAAGAGCATAGGAATGTTCGAGAACAAAGAAAAAAATCAGCATACGTGCACAAACAAACACACACACTCGAACTTACCAGATATAAAATCTCCGTCAAACATTGCTTTTCTTCCAACATAATAGCAATAGGTTACACGTTGTGCCAGACTGAAACGATCATTTATATTTAAATTGTCAATTGCACGAATCATGGACTTGCACAAATTCAACTTATTGATCTATAGAAATGATTAATAGCAATAGGTGAACAAAGAGAGTAAATGTGCGTGTGTGTGTGCGACTTCATACATCAACAAACACTTTAAAAAAATACTTTACCTGGAAATAAATCTTGAAGAGCTGGTTAGCCAGACCCATCATGCCCAATTTCTTTGAGTCTTCAATTTGTGTACGACTAAAATATAAGACACAAAAATTTAATTAAATCGTTCAGAGTAAACCAGCAAGTTATATTTGATCTATCTAGCTTGACACAACGATTACTATTACAAGATTATTAAGACATTCAAATAGAAGGCAGAGCATCAAGTTATATATTCTAATAACCGAAAATAGCCATTGAGTCATGACGAAAATAAAAAACAGATTCAGCGAAGAACTGGGGAACTGAGGCGACTCAGACAAGTTCTCATAGAGAATGGATATCCTCCAAGATTTATCTAGAAAATCATGAAGTTAAGGGAAAAGCCTGAAAGAATCCAGACGGTGCCGAAGAAACTGCTATTTATGAGTGTTGAATTTAAAGGTGATACTGCAGCTGAGATCTTGAAGAATCGCTTATGCAAATCACTGAGGAAAGCCTTCTTTATGACTGAGCTACGTATCAATTTCTACAGCTGAAAAATGATCAACGGATGTGTGAAGGATAAACTGCCGCTTTCGACTGGACACCTCAAAGTGTGTTTACAAATTCACCTGCTCGTGTGGAGCTAGTTATATTGGCCTCACAAAGCGCAGGCTTTCCAAACGCATCTCTGAACATTATCTGGCATGGACAAAGGGACAATGTAAGATAATTACCAGCTCAATTCTTGAGCATTTGATGAACTCAGGCCACGTAGTTCCGCCAGAGTAGTCTTTCAAGATCATCTACAAAGTGAAGCCGAACGGTACAAAGGGCAACAGGTTTCGGCTTTTGTGTACGATGGAGGCGTTGGCAATTCATCAATACAACCCTGAACTCTGTATACAGGAAAAGTTCGTCCAGTCTCTTGTTCTACCTTGGTCGTAACCTCTTCACTAATCGTTCCCCGTAAAAAATTTGATTTTTTCTTTTCTTTTTACTTTTAGTTTGCTTTTGCTTTAATAATTAATTCACTATTATCACTCCAATATGCTCCTTCTGTACATTTCACACCCTCTTCACACTTGTTAAATTGACACTCAAATACCTTTATTCTCACTCAAGAGCAATTTTAACCTTGTTAAATTTATATCTTTGTGCCGTTGAGTACCACGTAATTTACGACTTTTAATTTTCACTTCTATAACCACTTCTGAGTAATTATATCAATTATGCCACCCCCCTATTACTCAATAATAGACCACTATATATTTTTGTAAGTGTAAATACAACTGTACAGCCTCTGAAGATGATTTCGTCGATAAAGAAAATTTTCTTCGCTGAATCTGTCTTTTATTATATATTCCACTAAACAACAATGAATTAATTTCTAGGAGTTGATTTGTTTCTACGAGTTGATCACGGATTGATACCAGTTAGAGAAGCATTGAAAACCAAGCAGCACTAGACAACTGATTCGCCCTAGTTTGGGACTCATCGAAAGTACGCACCCACTGGATTTCGAACCCAGGATCAACTG